AGAAAAAGGAGGAAGAAACATTCTGCCTCAGATCATAAATAACCTGTCCTCCTTAAACCATCCACACTCCATTTTGTCCATGTGGCCTTTGCTGGTTTTTACTGACAGGCTGGTAAGACCAAAAAAAATTTTAAAAATGGAAAAAAGAGAAGTTAATTTCTTAGCCTTTACCCTGTTCAGAGCATACACAGCTCCAGCTGCACAAGTGCACCTCCAGAGAACTCACACAGCACAACACCTCACAGAACAAGAAGGGACAACTGCATCTCTTGCTGCTGCTGGCACAGGTGAGGATGGTACCAGGCTGCCCATCTGCCACCATCTGCCCGTGGATTGATTCTGGATTCACAGTCCAGCAGCTCTGGCTGTCCAACGTCAACCTTTAAGACATAAACCTGCCTGGAGGAGATGGCAACAGACACTGCAAGCCAAAGTCAGGCTGATGTCTGCAGCCAGGGCAGGCGGCTGCTCTGAACAAAAGGGAGTCTGAATGGCTGAGCTGCAGTGGCCTCTCCTGGAGCCCCCTCCCAGAAATTCCTCAGCAGCTATGAGAGCTGGTACACCAAGACCCCTCACCTCAGTCCCCACTCACCTGTCAGGGATGGGAAGGCAAAATGGGTAAGACACCTTAGTGTGAAGGGCAAGAAGATGAGTTGGAGAGTTTGTGGACAAAAGAAAAGAGAACAGAAATTTATGCTATGACAAGGGACTTCAGGAATATCCAGCAGACAGACAGCAGTGACATAAACAATTTAGAGAGGGCAAAATGAGTGAACCCTTCCACACCTTTATATCAACATAACCAGCACACAGAAACCAATATGTTTACTCCAGACTTACCTGAGCTCCTTGCTGAACAGTGCAAGAAAATCAAGGTCTCAGGCTTTACCTGTAACACAGCAAATGGCCCCAAATGTGCAGCAAAGTAAGCAGAACAAGAACAGTGACCACAATGGGACCTTCTAATACAAATCATAAAGCTCATCTTGCCAGAAGACACATGTCTCATGAAAATTACTGTGGAATGAGCTCCCTCAGAAACTAAGGACCAACACAGTCAACATCATCTTTCTCTGCAATAGAGATAAATATTCTAGAAGTCATCTCCTTTAAAATAGAATGAAAAAACAAAAGAGAACCATTACAAGCAAGTGTCACATGCAGAACACCCTTGCAAGAGAAACGAGCCAGTTATCCACAAATGACAGATGACAGCAGTTTAACACACTGCAGTTAGGACATGAGGTACAATATGAATGAGGCAAGATGAGCAGAACACATTCCCATAAAATGGAAAGTACAGTAATAAGGAAAGAAGCATCAGTAAAATATGGGAAAATGAAAAGGACCAGAAGGAAATTAGGTATAAAAAAGAAAAAATGGTAAAGAATGGAGCAACATACTGAGGTAGCATATTGAAGCAGACGACCCCCTGGCATTAACTGGTGCAGAACCATTGTCTGGAACAGGTCAAGGACAGTTTCTGTCAGCTGAGCATTTGGTCCTGCACACAGAACCAGGCAATGGCAATGACAGCATCCTGCCTGGTTTCCTTGGGATGCGTTCCCCCTCAGAAAATGAAGAGGCAAGACAGGAAGAAAATAAGATGATGCCATAAATTAAAAGGCAAGGCTTAACAGAAACAAAAAAAATAGATGAAGAACAAGAAATAAAAACAAAGGGATGGGGCAAAGGCAAGATAAAAAGAAAATATCCACAGATTAGTGGAGTACATTTTATTTATTCATGATCTCTGTTTTATTATGTGTCCTTGGCAGATGTCCCACAACTGAAAATTTGCAAGGCAGATATTGATGCAAGTTTAGAGACTTCAGCCTCGTTTCTAGTCATTAGCCTTGGGCAGATCTTTTTAATAGGTGTGCCCCAATAGGAAGTAAACAAGTTCCTTAAATCAAGAGTCTTTGGACAGGAGACACGCTGCAAACAAATGGGCTGAGACAGGGACTCCAGGAGGTAAGACCAAAAGCACAGTCTCGACCTGTTTCAAGTGACCAAGCTGAAGGTCAGGCTGCTCATACAGATATTGCCTATCAGGATACAGACTGCTCTGACAAACTCACAGCAGACCCTGCCTGTCACACATCCTCCCTGTTAAGCAGCACTTATTTCACCTGAGAGGTGCGGGCTGAGCCTGCCCAGGTGGCAGGACAGGGATGCCAACACAGGCAGCCATGGCAGCCGTCTCTGGAGCCATCCCAGCAGCGAGGCAGGACACGGCAGGACACTGCAGGACACGTGTCCCACACCAGCCTGGCCAGGGCCCAGCCAGAACAAAAAGCTCACCTCTGGCAGAGGCAGCAGTGCTGAGAGCAGAAAGCTCAGCTGCCTCACTCCTCAGGCAGGTTTAAGGTGCCTCAGCAGCTCAGTCACTGCAGAACCTTGTTCTGCACTGAGGCTGGATGGCCTTGGCACTGAGTGTGAGTAGTTGATTTGATCCTGCCTGTGGGTGTAATTGCACAGCTAAGGTGATACTGGTGGCCAAACACCCATTTACCATATTTTCAGGTTTAAGGTGGTTTTATTCTTCTTGCACTGGGCAAGTTGCTAAGTGCTAGAGAGGGTGAGCAAAGATCTGCTCCTCCTTCAGGACCTCTCTGTTTCTACAAAGGGCATTCTAGTAAAACATCCGACCTCACCTGTCCCAGGAACAATTCCAGGGGTCACACTGCAGTTTGTATCAGCTCAGCTGAAAGCTGATTATTGATTTTCTTTTGCCCACACTCGCAAATAGGAAGTTGAAAGGCTGCTACAACTTCTGTGGGTTGCCTTAGTGCTGAGACAGGTAACAAGACACAGACATTTATAGACAAGGAAGAAGGTCTCTCAAAAAAGAGCTTTAATGTCCTCTGCAATGAATACATATAGATTCACTCTTTTTTTAATTGCAAGACCCACTTAAATCTGTCCAGACAGTATAAAGTACATCTAATAGACAAGTAAAGAACCGTGATTTAGGAAATCTGATATTACTTCTGGACCTTCCCCATACTTCCTGAAATTGAAATAAAAATCTAATGATACTGTGCCTCTTTTTAAAGAAAACCGTTTTGAAATCTACAGCTAAGAAACACCCTTGTAAAAGCTAGGTATGACTACTGTCAATTAAAGTTCTTTTATCATCATTTAGCTACCTACCTGTATTTAAATAACTTACACAATTTCAGAACATAAAATAATTTTTGTCTACCCACAGTGCTATCTCAGCAGAAATTTAGATACAGAAGCTAAAAAGTTTCTTCCTTACAAGCCTTATAATTGTCTTTCATTCCCCCAAATGACTACTGGTTTCAACATTACTGCAATGGGCAGCTTCCCCCCAGTAGCAGATATTAAATACATCATGCAAAGTTGAAAAGCCACCTCTACTTCATGGCTTAGGATATGAACTCAGATCAATTCCTACCAAAATTCTACATTATTTAACCCTAACTGATTAGAGGAGAGAAAGACTATGGGAAAGGCTGCAATTTTGACTGAGGAAAGCAAGAATGAGTGGTCCAGGACATGTTTCTGAAAATGAGGTCTGCCCCAGGTATCCCAAGTCAGACACCCAGAACTTGACTCAAACATCCCCTCTGAAACTCCTGGCTCCCTACAAAAGGCATCCCTGCTCCCTCTGTCCCCTCAGGACGGTAGCCTGAGTGCCTCATGCCATCTATTGGCCTAGACCAGTGACAGGCGCTCGGAGGAGAGCTTTAATTCTGGGAAAGCGACTGTGTTAAAAGGAATCTGTCGGCAGATCTGTAAATCCCGCTAATGGAATCAATACACTGCCGCTGCTCAGATCTTGAGGTCCACCTTGCCCAGCAGACACACTGAGCTCAGCTCCCAGAATAACCAACAGCTGGGCTTTGCATTAGGCAAATAAAAAATGGAACACAGCGATCTCGCAGGCAAGAAAATCCAGAAAATCCAAAAATAAGCAGAGAATTTTCACTGTCCTACACATGAACATTTAAAAAGTCATTCATAAAAAGAGAAAGTTCCTTCAAAGCCTACTTAGTTCCAAAATCTCGTTAACTATCCCAAACTTAGTAAAGTCTACTTTAAACAGGACGCGCACACTTAACAAACTTCTTCCACGTTTCCTTACCCATAGAGACTACTGTAGCCATTCACAGCTGCTTAAATCTAGTTTACTTTTTAACCTAAACGAGTTTCAAAAAGACAAGGCAGAGCTGTGCCATGCGAAAGGACTCAGAGGCATCGCTATTGACCCTCTCCCGCGCAGGCCATTACAAAGCAGCCGCGGAGACCCCGGCAGGACGCGTCCGCTCCGAGGGCCAGAGCGGTGCCCGCGCCCCCGCTCCGCAGCCGCCTCCCTGCGGAGAGTCCCGAGCAGGACGGTGCAGGGCAGGACATCGCCGGGGCAGCGAACGCGCCGAGGCTCCCCCTCCCCAGGTGGCTTCCTGTGCACCCCTCTTCTTCCTCCTCCTCCTCCTCCTGCCCCGCCTGTTTGCCCCGCGGAACGCAAGAAGACACCGCGCCGCACTCCGCGCTGTCCCCTCCGAGCCGCAGCCGCTCCCCGGGGCAGCGCTGCCTACCTGGAGCCGCGGCCGCCGCCGCCCGCCCCGCCAGCTCCGGGAGCCGCCCGACGTGGGAGGGGAACACCGGCGGCGGCAGGCGGGCTCAGCCGAGTCCCCTCCCCGCCCCGGGCATCCCCCGGCCCCGCTCCCGTCCCGCAGCGCCCTCGGGGGCCCCGCTCCGCTCCCCGTGGTTCCGCACCGCGCCCAAGCGGTGCCGCCCTGCCGGTCGGTGTTCCCCCCCCAGGTCCCGCTCCACGCCCCGGGGATCCCGCTCTCTGGCGGAGTCCCACCCCCACGGTTTCCTCTTCTTTCCCGGAGCGTTCCCGCACTTCGCCCGTCGGTCCCGCATAGCACCCCTGGCGTCTCCCCCGCTCCCGGGGCCGCCCCGCTCGGTTCCCCGGGGCAGTCCCGCACCGCCCGGACCCCGCGCCCGGACCCGGCGTCGCCACCTACCAGGCACGCCCAGGCGGTCCCCGCTCCCCCGCGGCTCGGAGGCGGCAGCCCGTGCCGAGGGGCGATGCTGCCGAGGCGGAGGGGCAGGGCTGGGCTGTGCCGGCCGCCTCCCGCCCGGGGTTGCAGTAGCTGTGCCAGCAGTGCCGACCCTGCCGCCCGTGCCGCGCTCTGGCCGCCGGGCTCGCCCCGTCCCGCTTTTGTGCGGCGGCGGGGCCGGGGCTGCGCGCTGAGCTGTCAGCGCCGGGGGATTGATCTGCCATCGATTCCCAGGCGCTGTGCTGAAGTGGCACACGCGGCTTGATTAGCTGGCGGTGCAGCCTGAGATGCGGAGCGTCCTCCGCACGCTGCAGGGGGATGTGATTTGTGCTCCGTGTTATGGCCCAGAGTAGTTGGCTGCTTGTGTCGGGGCTCAGTTCTGCCCGAGTTAAAGTCAGAGAGCAATGGGAAGCCAGGCCAGCTCCCAGCGTAACTCGAAAGCGCAGCTGCGACAGCGTTCCACGATTAAACACTTTGTCTGTTCCAATGGTGTCGTTTCGAAAATTGCCGATAATGAACGGGATGGTTTATTACTTCATTACAATTTCTGCACTTTTGCCAAACTTTTCAAAACTTTTCACTAAGAAACTCTAAAACATCATCATCATCATCATCATCATCATCACCACTAACTGCAGGATTAGGGGAAAAAAAAATCTGTTTCATAACTATTTCTGTCAGTTATTTTCCTAATCAATTTTAGCTTGAAAAAAAATCTTGCACAAATATTGCATAAAGTTCTCCTCTATTTTAGGGGGAGATTTCGTTGTAGTGGGTGTTTTTAGAATTCATTACATATTTTAAGGAGAAAATTCAACAACCTGTTTTTTAGAAGCAACACAAATACTTACTATGCTGATGGGTTCTTGTTGCAGTAATAATTTTTTAGTCTTATAAGAGTCCTCAGTTGTGAAGACTGAGGAGAGGGAGGATCCTAAGAGAATACATTTCTCTCTGTGTTTACTGTTGTTCCCTTAAGATACTATTGCTCTGCAGAGAGGATTCATTTTATTTAATGTTATGGTGTAAAATAGCGTTAATAAATTAAATTTTTTATCTCATTTGTCTTTCATTAACCACAGAAACTTTAATCACTGCAGAATATGTCTTGTCCAGATATTACATCAACCCTTCAATGTTGTGTACAGTAATGTGCATTTATGTTACACATCTTTTTCAAAAACCATAATTAAGCAGGAGTACAGAATGACATTTAGTTACAGAAAGTTAGTGAGAAAGCCATGCCCTGAGTGCAAAGTGAGTTCCTCAGAACTGTTCAAATACAAGAATGTGGACAGAATACTTCCTGGAGACGAATGAGGTCATCTTAGTGGGTCATTTGGAGATTTCAGCATAACATTTGAAAGATCCTGCAGAAATATTGTTACTGACTCTTGGAGATGATACTGCAGCACTGCAGCCCATCCGATGGTTGCACAACCTCAAGTCATCACAGGCAAGAATGTGAGATGCTGGAAATTGCCCAGGAAGGTGAGAGCTGCAGCTTCCTGGGCAGCAAGGACACACACGTTTAACACACAGGGACATCTTTAGTGACAGAGGGGCAAAAGGTAGGTTTATTGCCTGTGTCAACACGTCTGGTGACACTGGTGACTGTCCTCAGAGCCTGTTGTGGGCACTGGATGTGTCCCATGGTGCTGCTCTGCCTGGCAGGGAGGGCAGAACATGCTGTCTTGGCTGCTCATCAAGCCTGTCGAGCTGCAATCTGCATTATCATAACTTAGAGCTCCTTACATCAGCATCATCCTGCACTGCTCTTTTCTAAACAACAGACCCAGTCCCCTGAGGGCAGCACATTTAGAAAAGCCAGTTCTTTCCTCCCAGTGTTCTGCAGACCCAGGCATCTTCTCTATTTTATCTGCATCAAGAAATACCACAAAACATAGGGATTGCATTTATTTTTGTATTTGATGCATCATGGTTTCTTTTTACATAAGCAGTGTCTGAGCACTGAGATGTCTGAGGAAATATCTTCCCTTTTAAAGCAGTTTTTCACGTGCTTCCTCTAAAACACAGCAGCTCCTCTGATCTGTGATCATGCTTTTACATGGAGGGCTGACTTGTGGGGTTCTGGCAAGTTCTAGCAACTTCATTTTAAAATATGCCCTGGAATTTGCTTGACTCAATCATCTGGAGAAGGAGAGATTTCTATCTTCCTGATGCAGAAAAACTTATTGGCAGCTGTTTATGGTGGGCATGAGCCTAGTTCCTGGCAGTGAGAAAAAGAACTGAAGGGAAATCTAAGCTATAACACCATCATCTTCATTGCCCTGCAGTGGTTTAAAATATTGCAAAATGGTGTTAATTGTTGCTCACCAGCTTAAAAGGACTGTAAGACAAAGGCTGTTAAGGAAAGTGGCATGCATAAGGATGGCTCATCTTGTGCTCTAGCCAAGGGTCAACCAGAAATATTATTCAGGAACAAATAATTACAAAATTTCCAGATTAGTCTTTAAAAATATTAACTCCTTCAAAGTTGCTGTAATAAGTTAATTCAAAACAAAACTGTTGTTTTAAATTTCTCTTAAGAAGCTTTTCACCAGTGGAGTGAATGGAGCGAGGAGTGAACATATGGCTGCATTGGAAGGGATTGTGACCCCCCATAAAATAGCTTACATCCTTTTTATGGCTCTTTAAAGCACGCAGTGGGCCTATCCAAAGTCAAGCTGCCACTGGCTAATCTAAACTGGAAACAGCAGTGCCCTGCCTGAGCACTGTTGTGCCTGTGTTTGTTGTGTTTGTGTAACATTTCCATCCCTAGGGACTGGCCATTATCCCCCCCCCCATTTGTTTTCTTCCCTGAATTGCCTTCATCCAACCAGAATATGTCAGCAGTTACACCAGGGGGACTCTATTAAAGACAAATGGACTCAATGTTCTTCCTGAAGAAATACTCATAATTTAAGCTGCACAGCTGTGGGACAAATTTAGAGTAACTCTGCCTTAGGTACTTTCTTGGAGGGAAAAGGAAAAAAAAAAGGTGATTAGAATGGCAACCCTCCTGACAGTGAGAGCTGAATCTGCTCCTCTCTGCCTGCTGCAATCCCACCCTTTCCAGCCTGCTAGGGACACATGGGATGGGGGCTGCAGCAGCACTTGCAGCCCCTGCAGTGACCATCCACAGCCACCATAGCAGCCAGCACAGGGATTTCCACTTGCTGCACAGAAACAGATACAAATCACAGCTTTTCACATTCTCATTGATTTACATGTGCCTCAGTGCAGGACTCTGGCTTTCATTTGCACCTTCTCTGGATGAAAACTGTTTCATTCAATGGAGTTTTACATGGGGTTTGCACTACCTCCAAAAGCTCAGTCCTGCCTCTCATACAAATCAGAGGAACTGCTGTTGCAGTATTTTGTTTGTGCATTGTCACAGGTAAACTGACCACAGGTAAACAGAGGTAAACTGAGCCCTCTTGTACTTGCTTTTGTACTCCAGACCCGGGGACTGTCTTATGCTGCTTTGATTTAAGAAAGTCAGCGGGAATTTTCAATTCATTTTATTCAGTTCAAGAAGATAAAACTTTATCTGTGAATGGCAGGGCCTCTCCTTAATTATCCTGAGAAAATAACTTCATATAATACAACATAGTGCCTTCAATTCATTAAATAGAATATTTCTAATAATAAAAAAGTATTACCAGAAGAAAGTCAAAGGGGTTTAAATGGTTTGTGCGGCAGCATGATCCAGTAACTTGAGGAAAAACTGCATCTGCTGCAGAGCCAGGAACAGAGCTTAGAGCTCTGGGGGTTTTTTTACTATTTTTTAATGCTGAAATTGTTAGTAAAGTATGAATAGTCAGAGGACAACACTGCATTTGAATTTAAAAGCATCTGCAAGTGTTGCTAGGAATATGTGAACCATAACAGATCTTCAATTAAGCAGAAGGTAAGAAATTTATCAGTGTCGGCTCCCTGGTTACCAGGCTATTGACACAGTTCTTAGAAAGATAAGTCAAATGTACATGTGCATTAAACATACTGCATTTCTGAAAATTATTTTTTCCATTAATTATGAAAACATATTAACTCAGAACCTTGTTTAACAAAAGATGAACAGTAAATTACTGAATCACTACTCAGCAAAGTAGGTAGGAAATTCCTGGTACATTTTCTAACTCAAAGCAATCTCAAATTACAATGTGACCTGTAGCAGGATGTGTCTAAAGTGAGCACAATGTATAAACAACTCCTGTGGAAATGTTGAATGCAGCAGCTGTCATTACACAGGCTACCAGTACAGTAATTACACTTCAGATGTGTAACCTGGCTCGCCTGTCACAGCTGAATTCTTGTTTACAACAAATACACTGGGGTTTACAGACCTGTGCCTTTTTCAAAAATAATGGGAAAACATAGTTCCTAAGGTAAAAGATGAAAAGGTCTTTCAGTGGGAAAAGAATGTCTGTAAAGAATGGTGAAAATGGCTTGTATGTAATCTTTTAATTCCTACTTACACATTTATGGCAGGGGAAGGAGTGGGTGTGGGTGCTTAGGAAGCTGCAGCAGAAGGTGGGGGCTTCTTTTGTCAACCTTTTTTCTCTTACTTTTTCTTTTCTCCTTTGCTGTCTTTCTTGTCCATTTTCAACTCCATTACTATTTGGCATTACTAAGGTAGTCCCACAGGAACCTCAGTCCAGGCACATAATTTCATTTGGATACTTGGGATACAGTCAAGTACAAAGGAAGAAATTCTGAAGATTGAATAAGACAGGGCTAAATAAGAAACTAAAGATCAGGGTTTGGAAGGCAAGATAATACTAAAATGAATAGAACAATAGTAAAGCTACAGCAGTGTTTCAATTTTCCTTAATTATTTTCTTTTATTTCTCTTCAAATCTATAATACTTTTTCTTCTAGTTCTATTTTCTTTTCATTCCTTGTGGGGATTTTTCATTATTTTGCATTTATGCTCAGCTCCAAAGTCCTTGACATGTCCATTTCTCTGACTTTCT